GTGTGTGCATGTTAAGAGAAAAATAAGTTTTGGTTACAAAGCTTAAGACAATATGCGCATAATGTTATTGTTGAATACTTTAGATGACAGGGTGGTATAAAATGAGTGATTTTCCTTCTAATAGTCATCATTCAGTAATTCCCAAGGAAGTCTGGTCACTGCGAACTTCAGCTCATTTTACTTTCGGTGGAAGGAAATTTTTCTTTCTTTGCAACATCTTTGTCTTTGAGTACTTTTTTTTTTAACCAGAGTTGAGTTAGTTTTGTATATGAAAATCTATCTTGCAATCTACCTTCTCCATATTGTTACACCTTAAAGCATATTAATATCACAACCAAGTTTCAGGGTTTTTTCAAATTTCAACTTTCGTTGAAACTAGCTATGCTTATTTTTTCAAGAGGATATAAATTAGCATTTGTGTAATGGGACATTATCTGCTAATGTCAAAAAAGAAATAAATTCATCTATTTTCCAGTGCATGACAGTCCCCATTTGTACAATATGAAGGCACCATCTGATTTTGATGAATCATGACATTGTTTCATGTGAAAAATAAACTAGCACAATCTATATCATGTAATCTGACCAAATATGCATTGTATCACAATTTTCATATTGTCAAATGTTGTGAGTGGTTTTGCAATTTCACCCATCAAGTAACGTGAAACACGAAAGGGAAATCTTTTACCTCTGATTTTGTAGTAAATGTAAATATTTCAGAGGACGTTTTCTTTTTTAATTTTCCTACTTTATGTTGTAAGGACAGCTGTGTGAGAATACAATTGTACTGGAAAAGTTTTATTTGTTACAAATAAAATGGTAAGAATAATCCAGTGAGTCATTATTTCCTCTTGGTAATGGTTTGTGGGGCTTTCCATGTTATAGTTATCGTCAATAATAAGTAATTATCATTGTATTGCATTGCATTATGTTTTGCCCCCACAATAAAAACTAAAACGCTAAACTAAGCATTTAACCCTCTGGGGTCCTTCATTTCAGGGTCACACTCAGGGTCTTCGGGACCAAATGGTCCGGAAGGGTTTGATTCATATTTATTAAAAGAAAATCATATATTTTTTTTTTTTACTTGTTTTTTATAAAAAAAAAATCTTTTATTTTTTGGTGTTTTGAGAAAATTTTATGATTTATAATTAATATTTATGCAATAATTATGACCCATTTTTTCCCATTGAATATAATATAATTTTTTTATAAATATGTATTTTTTTTTTTTTTTTTTTTAAAGCTGTATTTCATTTTAGAGTCAAGCCTAGGCCTCATGAAAACAATTTTTGAAATGAGATGGATGCCATCTGCTGGACACACTGAGCATTTTTATCACGCAATAGCACATTTTTACCACTAGTGGATTTACAGCTCTCTGTAGAAAGGGTTCAGAATTCTTGTGAGTTTTGCACATCTTTGACAATTTTTTTCAGGTTTTTGATTTTAAAATATAATAACAGATTCTCAAAGACTATTTTTGTCTTGTTTTTTGTTTGGTTTAAATGGTAATTTGAAGTGCCAGTTTTACTTTATAATACAGATTATTATAAATATATAATACAGTGTGTGTGTGTGTGTGTGTGTATGTGTGTGTGTGTCTGTTTTGCACTCTTGATGTTTTAGAGATTCACCCCTTCACTGTTGAGTCCTTTTTTCTGCATCCTGGCTGATTTGTAGATTGTATGCAAAAAAAAAAAACTCTGACAATTTCCCATTCATTTCCTATGGGGGTCATTTTTGACCAAAGAGCAGAAGTGTGACGACCACTTAGCATGCTTGGATCATGACCCCAATATTTTTTGTTTGTTCACATACCTAATACCATAAAAGTCACCTAGTTTCGTAACATTCCGATGAAGCTGTGATTTTTAAAAATTCAAAACATATTTAGGTAATCTGAATTTATTAGTGTGTTTGTGTATAAAAGTGTGTGTGTGTGTGTGTGAATGTGTGTGTGGATGTGTCTGTTTTGCACTCTTGATGTTTTATAGATTCACCCCTTCACTGTTGTGTGCTTTTTTTCTGGATCGTGGCTGATTTGTTGATTGTACGCACAAAACAACTCTGTATTGTCACATTTTTGTCAATTTCCCATTCATTTCCTATGGCGGGTCCATTTGGACCCGAAGACCCTGAGTGTGACCATTTTTTTTACAACCACTTAGACTTCAAATCCTGTCCCCAAATTTTTTGGGTGTTCATATACCAAGTACCAACAAAGTCACCAAATTTCGGACCATTCCGATGAAGCTATGATTTTACACATTTTTTTATTTAAATTCTTCGGGTCCATTTGGTCCGAAGAACCCCAGAGGGTTAAGTATTATGTTGGAGACAGAGTGACAACTGGTATTTTATGAATTTTAGTTGCTACACCGTTATAAAATCAGAATATCAGAATATTATCTTACTTTTTGGCCATATACACTGTAGTTAATAGCAAGTAGCAACAGCACCAAATTGCATATTTTTTGCTGTTTGGGCCAGAGCGAAACGGGTGTTTTTCCTCCTCGAATATGAACTCCTAAAACATACTACACAATTAATAAAAAAACAATATTTTTACAGTCTATGATACAAACCTGATGCATCAAATGTGAAAAAAAACAAACAGGACTATTATTTCATGTCAGGCTTTACAGTGTTAAAATAAACTCCAGCACTGTTGCAATGCGCTTCTTGTTCTGATTTGACCATTTTGAGATTATTGCCATCAGCAAATAAACTTGTTCGATTAACAGCTGTTAGCGCCCCCTAGTGTCAGTTCAACAATTTACCTACAGTCTTTAGTTTTAATGTTTGAGTACATTTGGATTAAATATTGCGTAAACATGTTAACATTGTGTTTATCTCCTTTGCTTTTAAACTGTATGATATGCTATCAGCATTATAGCAATCACCCAATTATTTTTCAATGTTTTGTATAAACAAGCTAATTTTAGTTTAAATCAATAGCGGGAACAATGTAGAGTGCTGGTAAGCCTTTTTTATATATTTATATCTAATTCCAGGCTATACAGAGGCTGAGAATAACATCCACCTTCTGTTATGAACAAATACAAATCCATATTATAATTCCTATGCAGCTTTCTGTTGGAATTACACACAAGCAAATCTCTTTTGAGATCTCTCATCAATTTGATTGTTTCGTTACTACTTTTGTGTGTGAAGCTTTCAAACCAGCAATCAATCAGTCAAAGCAATATGTTTGGCTTAAAAAATTACACCAAACTGTAGCCGATTTCAAAATAAATCCCTCCTTCCTGAAAACAAAACGGTTATATATTTCTATACATAGTCATTGTTTCAAGTTTCAATCCTCATCAACATTTAACACACGCTCATTTTCAGAATAACATTCATGTTTACTACGACATTGCTGCAGATGTCGGGTAAAAAGGCCATTACTCAATCACAAGAACTTTGGGCACCAAATGAAAAAAGACACGCATTGCATTCCCGACTGCTTTAATAAATCAGAGCCAAGTGTGTCTTCCACTTAGTCTCATTCAAGCAGGAATCAGCTGTATAAAACAGTCAAGCATGTTCTGCACACCTGCATTGGACAAGTCAGTCAACAAGTAAACATTAGATGAGAGGGACGTTTCACACATTCACTACCATGTGTCATCATACAAGCATTGATATTCAAGGAGAAAGCATTCCAAAGTTCTCCCAAAGACAACGTGGTTTTTATCTAATCATAACATTCAAGTTCATATCCTGTTTTTTTTTTTTTCTTCTTCTTTTTGGTTTTCTTACATGTAAAACCTCTTTGTCTTGTTGATTGGCAAATAGTTAAAAACTGTTAGTGGCAGCCGTGCTGATGGGTCACGTCGTGTCTGTTTCAGTCTTGGCCCTTTAACAGTTCACAGAGTATGAAAAAGGTTCTGCTACAGGCATCTGGAAAAATAACAGTGTTTTTCTCCCAAAACACAATGCTGAGTAACAATTCCATGCGGAACTTAAAACAACTGATCAGTCTTTTGTTTTACGGTTTGATTTCTTTAGCTTATCTGTTTAAAATAGAATGACTGCTCATTTTTTCGTACCAACATTCAAATTTCAATACTGCTGAAGTTCTACAAAGGCATAAATAAAAACAGAATATAATACATGATGCTGTATAAAATTCAAAATAAAATTTGTATACTTAGTTTTTTTTTGTTTTGTTTTTTTGTGGAAATAATTACCAGAGAGGCAAATGACGTTTTTGAGAGCAGGAAAACACCAAGTATACCCCTGAGATTAAAATAAATTCCCTATATGCATGTGAGACCAGTTGTTCTACTCGTTGCCTGAAACTACACATTGCGCTACGGAAAACTTGAAGGCACAAAAACTGAGGCTTTTTGACCCCAGGACTCCACACACCGCACAGCTGAAGACCCCAGCTCACTCGTAACAAATGACTCCAACACTTCACATCAGAACGGAACACTTTAGAAAATCGTGGTAACAGAATTAGTGTCCGTGCGGCTCAGGATACTTCAACTTGGGGCTCATAGTTTCTTGTTTTGTTTTTTTAGGTACAAAAAAAACAAAAAAAAAACAGCTGAGTTCGTCAAAGTTCGTACTTTAGAGGGAGCAAGGCAGTGATTGAAGGTTAAGGGCCAGAATTCAGAGAGAATCTAACAGTTGAGACGCTCTGTGAATGATAGATGCCCTGCATTAAGGCTGGATAATCACGGACTACGGTAAGTTAAAAAATAAAACGGCAGGACCTCCAGAACAGTCACCAAGATACACCATATATAACATAGTTGTGTTCCTCCTCTTTTCCTTTTGTTTTAACCCAACATATTCTTATACATATATACATATATTCATATATATATATATATATATATATATATATATATATATATATATATATAGAGAGAGAGAGAGAGAGAGAGAGAGAGAGAGAGAGAGAGAGAGAGAGAGAGAGAGAGAGAGAGAGAGAGAGAGAGAGAGAGAGAGAGAGAGAGAGAGAGAGAGAGAGAGAGAGAGAGAGAGAGAGAGAGAGAGATGTGTATATAGATACACATAATTCTGAAGAAAGTTAAGAGTATTATATTAAAACAAGGCTTTTCAAAGGTTGTTATGCACAATATATAAATGTATATTACAAGATATACAAGGGTTTAAGTCACAACGATCATTACGGATACATCCAAGCATTCGACACCATACCTTTGGCTTGAAGATTAGTTTAACGGTGAAGTACACAAATAATAAAAAAGGAAAGAAAACTGTTGGAACCTGTTCAGACACAAATAAATTGCTATTTAAATGTGACGGAGAAGAGAGAAAAAAAAAAAAATATTCAAGTTTTATGTTCTTACACTTTGATAAAAAGTGTCAATTTAACCCCAAGTTGAGTGATATTGAATTTCGACAACACTTTGAGCAGGTAATACGATAAACTGGATTTTTCAAGTTTGTCATTCCACATGTGCAAGTCAGTATTTAGATTTAGATGTATAAAAAAATGCTACAACTCGTACACCAAGCCACAGTCTCTGATCTCGTCCAGATCAGAGTAAAAAGAAGGGCTTGAAAAGTGGCAGGATAAAAGCATCCTCCGCTCCTCGTTTCTTTATCTCCGCATCTTCCTCGGAAGAAAAGAGGTGGCAGTGGAGTCTCTACCTGTAGCCCAGAGAGGGGAAAAGACCACTTCTTTTCCTTCTGTGCCTCTTGCGCCCTCTCGTGCGAGTTCTGTTTTTCCCCCGATTCACTCGCTGTCGGTCTCCAGCTCTGTGTCGGACCACTCCACGGGCTGCAGCAGGCCGCTCTGTTGGGCGTACTCGATCACTGCTTTGTAGCAGAAGTAGTACTGGTCCCAGGTTTGGATGCTGAAGGCACGCTGCGTCCGCATGCGACGCACCGTCTGCTTAATGTCCACTGTCCCGATGTCCTCCAGACGGGAGAGACAAATGTCTAAAGTACAAAACGTGCCTGAGGGAGAAGAATAGAGAAAGCTTGTAAGACACACTATAGTGCAGTTAAGAAATTAGATAAAGAATGTAGGCTCACCTGTTCTGCCGATGCCTGCACTGCAGTGCACCACCACTGGGGGGCCTCCTGGGGGGCCCGTCCAATCAGGATACAGTGTTCGTAATGAGGACTCTTGTCTCCGTTTCACGTGTGCCTGGAAATCCAACATGGCTGACGCCGACTTCGGAACACCAAAATCTGGCCAGCTCATGTAGAGATACTGAGACACTTCCCTACATTCCCCTGTCTGAAAGAGAAGCTTGTACTGTCATTTACATTATTATAGACATTAACATACATATAAAAGGCCTCAATGTATCCCTTGTAACTAGGGATGCACGATGATATCGGGACAACATCGGTATCGGCCGATAAAAGCTTAAAATGACCATCAATGACCACCGATACGATGAGCCTTGCCGATAGGATGGCGTGTTTCCTATGCGCACGAAGCATGAAGGCCAGCAACTTAAACTTCCAACTAGGGGTGTGCGTCTCACGCGGTTTTTGATAGTGGACGATTAAAATGTCTCTCCACGATCTGCTTTTGAAGAAAAATCATAGTATCGTGCATTCTATCAGTTCAATTCTGGCGCCTTCATCTCAACATACTGTACAACGCGACGTACATTCACATCACATCACATGTAAACGCAGAGGTAGAGTTACACTCACGGGACACTGCAATTCACAAAAGTTCATTATTTGCATGTGCGTCAAAGTCTTGCTAGTTAAACATGTCATTCACGTCACGTGCTGATGCGCTGTTCTAACATCCGCTTTTCTGAGCGCGTTACACCCGACGCTCACAGGAACTAAAGCCTGTCACAGCGCCTGCATACTGGACTAATCTTTCGAGTCTTATTGTGCTGATACTGTCAAATACACACAAGGTTTACATAAAGTTGGTTATGTCTAAAGTGAAAATCTGCTTGTCAAATGCGTGTATATTAGACGCGTCGCGTGCAGTTCTTAAAGAGACAGTAATAATATGCTGCCGCTTGTCCTTAAAGAGATACTGCACCCAGAAATAAAAATTGTCATTATTTACTCACTCTAATGTTGTTCCAAACCTGTATTCATTTCTTTCTTGTGCTTAAATATACTATGGAAGTCACTGGAGTACAGCAACTGTTTGGTTAGCCACATTCTTCCAAATAACTTTTATTTTCAACAGAAGAAAGAAACTTGAGAGAGTAAATGATGACAATTTACATTTTTGGGAGAACTATCCCTTTAATGTTAATAAAACAACAAAACACAGAGGAAATCACTCACTGCTCTTGACTGAGAACTTTAATAGAAGCTTTCATAAGCTTTTTTTGCATATATATATCGGTATCGGGCATAATTAGTTTGAAATCAAAAATCAAATATCGGCCAAAATCCAATACCGTGCATCCCTACTTGTAACTACACAATAAGTGTGTGATCTAAGGGTGTTCACTCTTGGCAGGTTTGATTCAATTGAAACGAACTTTAGCGCCATTGCTCTGTTAGTGCAGTTCATTTAAATAAGTCTGAACGCTGCCAACAGAACCTTGGTGTGGTTTGACTGAAAAATGAATGCAAGGACATCTAAACAAACCAAAAATAGTATGCGATGTCACAAGATGCGATCCTAAAAAGGACAGAATGCTCAAGCAAACCTTCTCGTTCCTTTCTCGTCATAGAAGCTACATTGCCCATTACGGTTCGACACAGGCATCAGAAACACTGTCTCCTTACGACAGATCTTCATTTGTGTGCGCAATGATTCCTGCTGCTGTTTTCACTCCTTTACACATTTTATAAGCACTTCATGAGTTATCAGCTGGTAAATAGGGCTGAAACAATTAGTCGACAATTATTTTTGTTGTTGAATAGTCTATCTCAAATGGCCTAATTTAAAGGCCTGCAATAACGCGTTTTGATCAGTGGGGCGCTGTAGCACTCCAACAGAAGACAGTGCAAACAAAACCAAACCAGTTGAGTAAGGGAAAATTTTACAAACCTACAAAAAGCAACAACACTGTTCTCATGCCACACGCCCAAATACATCGCAGAGCAAAGAGGACACTGACAACGTACCGGCAGACAAGACAGAGCAGGTTACTTTTGATATGAAACTACTAAAATTTTACTACTAAATTCAAACAATAAATGTGGTTTTGGCGCTCTTTCATATGAGAAATCGCTGTAGCGCCTCAGTTGAAGTGGCACGTGAACCGATCATCTCTTGCTCTTTACTACTAGTTACAGCATAAAATAAACATGAATGAACATCAGAAAGTATGTTGAAAGTTACAGAACAACTTACTGAAATGCATCATGTCTTGTGTAATCGCTCAATCAGTGTTTCAACCAGGGACAGACGTCAATAAAACAGCTCGAGAACAATCTCGTAACATTACATTTACCTCAGGAAAGCCATTCATAGACTATTCATATTATTATACTATATTAATATAAATGCAATTGCAATTATATTCAATTTTTGCATATAATTGCAAAAATTATAGTTTTTGCATTTTAACCTTTAATATTATAGTAATGTACCAGCTAAGAGAGAAAAATTAACGGAATCAAATATATCTGAATCGAATCACAAGCTTATGAACAGAAATCGAATCGTGAAATTTGTCAATGCCCAGCCCTAATAAAAACAGTAAAAAGAATATATAGGCAACAAAAGATAAAAACAGAGACTGAGGGACTGACCTGAGTGTTGAAGAGCTCCAAGTGTGATAGCTTAAAGTCCTGAAACATCTCAATATGGACATTTCTCACCAAAAAGTACCCATAATCCTCAGTGCGGCCAGCCTCTAATGGCCAGTACTGTCCGCATTTCACTCGGCCTCGCTCCACAACTCTGAGATGGACAAAGATAAGAATGTCAAGAATTATACTGGTCTTCTTTACTAGACATTAATCCTAATATGATGAAGACAACAGATAAATAAATGGAATAAAAGGACAAACATTCTATGATCAATTCATATTGTTTAAATGACTATTTCTGTCATTCAACTGCATAAAATGTATATAACTATCATAGGGCTGCAACAATATAATTCTACCACAATTTGAATGGCATGTCAAAGAAAATGGACAGCATGAAGAAAGGGAGAGCAATCATTTTGTGTGTCAAATTTCTTTTTAGAGCTAATTTGGAATGTGTTAGATTAAATTAAAAAACAACAAAGCTTTTTTAATTGAAGTATTTGACAAACCAGTACACTACCGTTTAAAAGTTTGGGGTCAGTAAAATGTTATAATGTTGGTTCGAAAGAACCATGGTTGCATTTATTCAATCAAAAATAGACCAAAACAGTAATATTGTGAAATATATTATTAAACTGTTTTCTATTTTAATATTTTAAAAGGTCATTTATTTCTGTGATGGCAAAGCTGAGTTTTCAGCAGCCATTACTTCAATTTTCAGTCACATGATCCTTCAGTAATCATTCTAATATGCTGATTGGTGCTCAAGAAACATTTCTTATTACTACCAATGTTGAAAACAACTGTGCTGCTCAATATTTTTGTAAAAATCATGATGCTTTCAGGATTCTATGATGAATAGTAAGTTCAACTATTCAAACAAACAGCATTTATTTGAAATAGAAATATTTTGTAAAAATGTTTAAAGGTGCCCTAGAATTTGAAATTGAATTTATCTTGGCATAGTTAAATAACAAGAGTTCAGTACATGGACATGACATACAGTGAGTCTCAAACACCATTGTTTTCTCCTTCTTATTTAAATCTCGTTTTTGAAAAACACCCCTGAAAAATAGGCGAATCTCCACATAACACCGGCTGTGATGCAACAGTCGGGATCATTAATATGTACGCCTCCAAAAATTTGCATATGCCAGCCCATGTTCAATGCCAGGCGGAACTGCGCAGCCGAATCATCGGAAGTTTCGTTTCGTTTTTATTCACGTCATCATTATATAATTTGCACACAATTTCAGAAGGAACAATGGTCATATGTAGGTCACGTGATTCAATTCCAACTATATTCCCGCAAGCGTTAAGTAAGTTAGTGATTTTATTAACGATAATTTACACTGTTATCTAGATCCAGCGCAAGATCCTAGTACAGTAACAAATAGCAAACTCCAAGTAACGAGCATACATAACTAAATAGTATGACAAAGAATTTACACTGAGGTTAATATTTCTTGCCTGTGTTGTCATATAAATCTACAAAATAATACTGTAGATACACGTGTAAATTCCCTTTTGTCAAATGATTTTACTTTCGACTATTTCATCAACAACACGTCAGGGGCTAACTACGTTAGTTTAGTTGCTCACAGATAATGTTAGCTCACTCGATCCTTCTAGCTAACGTCACATTCTCCACCACATAAGTTGAAGCTATTTATTTGACAAGGCATCTAGCGTTAGTCCATTGGTTAAAAATGTTTTAATTTTTGAAAACTGACGTATGATTATTTTGCATGCTTGTCATTCAGAGTGCACCACAGCCCTTGCATACTAATGATGTAGGCTGCCAAACAGATGATCCTATCGTCTTGAACACAGCTGTCTTTGAACACAATGAGGCCGCAGTGAAACAGCCAATCAGATCAGAACTCCTCATTACTATTCATGAGTGACCCTTCCAAATAAGGTAAAAACACGACCATTTCATTCTAGGGCCAATTTCTAGAGTTGAAAATGGACCTGTAAAACCATATCTGGACATTTTAAATGCCCTTAAATAAGCCACATACCCTCTATGTAGATATAAGAGACAAAATTAAAATATTATTTCAACACATTCTAGGGCACCTTTAAGTCTTTACTGTCACTTTTGATCAATTTCATGCATCCTTGCTGAAAAAAAAGCAAACTACTGACCCAAAACTTTTGAACGGTATTGTATTTGTAAGTTGCAGCAGCCGTTTATTATTGTGCCCAAAATCCTGTTAAAGCATCATTAAAAAAAAGATCTTAAAGGAAAAGCAATATAACTTTTTATAGAAGGAAACTAACCTTGTAGTCATAACAATGATTAAAACCATTTGCTCCCACACCATTCGCCAAAAGTCTCCAAATGTTTTTGGCAAAGGCCCTGAAACAAGCCAAAATTTCACATTTACTGTATGTGTACTTCACAAAAACATGTTTAGTTGTGAAAACAAAGTCTCACCCTGAGTAGCGATGTAAGCATTACTCCTCTTGTAACCATCCATGAAACTAGCGTTGATGTAGTCAGACGTCTATATAAAATAAAATAATAATTAATGAATTATTTAATAATAATAAAACTAGTACTATTAAAAATTGTTTTCAGTAATTAATATAAAGCAGAAAATACATAAACATTGGAAGGGATGCACCGAAATTCTGGCCGCCGACAATGTATGGTTTTTGGCCGAAAGAGGAAAAAGGCAGAAAATATGTGCCCCAGCAATAATATAATATGCCTGTGTCAAAAATATACGCCCCTGTGACTAAATAAACATGCAATATCGTTGATGAAAAAAGCCAAGACTATATGAAGTTAAAAATATTAAAGCTTGACCAAATTCTCACACTGTTTTTGTCAGGGAAAAAAATCGAAATCCGCGATCAAACCTTCTCAATGATGAACTGCAATAAATCCAAACATGGATCTGGACTATAGCCTATTAATTGTGGTTGTTGAATAACTGCACTTATGCAGCTCTGTATGACAATAAGTGCTTTTTGCAGTTGTTTTAATAGTGGGCACACTGCATCTGCTAGACTACAAGGTAGTGGAGGGGTTCTAAAATTAAAGGCATGTTGTACTCCTTTAATTTAGAGTGTGTGCTGCACACTATTGAGAATATTGAGCTGAAACTTGACTTTAAAAAATTTAATTGCAAATCAAATCGCAATATCGGTCAGAAAAATCACAATTAGATATTTTCCCCAAATCGCACAGCCCTACAGAGCATGTAAGTTGAAGCATTTTGGTGTTACTTCAAATAAAAGTATGGTAATTTTTATTTTATTGGCTTGTATTTTTTAAATTCAGATTCAATATAATTATTGAATTTAATTAAAAAGTCTAATACTAATACAATTATACAAAAAAAGATGAATTTAAAATAAGAAATTAATAATAATTTTAAAGTCCTTCTCGGTTTCGGTTTTCAGCCAAGTGCATCCAGAATTTTCGGTTTCAGTGCATCCCTAGCATTACACACATAAATTTACTAAGATTAAAAGTAAAAAAATATAGAAGCTAATATTAAACACATAAATAATACTATAATATGACTGCAATGAACAATGACAACCATGAAGATCATCACAAGGGGAAATGGGCATTACTCTGACCTCGTCGTCCTCATCATTGAGCGGACAGAGTCGAACGCGTGATTGGTCAAGGCAAAGGACGTCACTGTAGCGATTCTTTATCTGGTTAGAGGTTTTCCTGTCAGAATAAATATCATATTTATACAAGCAAACACTTATTGGTCTGTGAATGTATCGTCAAATACATTTACAGACAAAGAAGTTTATAATATGTCAAATACCCAAATGCAAATGTCACTTACTTAGAGTAGTCAAAGGTTCCAGCAGGAGGTTCCTTGCGGATCTCCTCGTACTCCTGATAAATGCCCTTCTTCTTTTTGCGTTTCACGTGCTGCACCAGATCCTGCAGGCTCATTCCGCCTGGCTCAGCCAAGTGCACCGACAACGCAGCCGCTTCCGTCGTCGTTCCTGGAAACCAGCTCATATCTGGATTGGGGCTGTGATGGAGGGGTGGCGGCCTTGATTTCAGTGGGAGGGGTGGAATGCCATCTCCATCCACTTCCTCTTCCAGAAACTCCATTTCCTGTTGGCTGTCCTCAGCACCATTGCCACACTGCCTACTGTCGTCTAAACATGCTCCTTCCACACCCATAGTCCCTCCCCCCCTTGGTAATATAGCACCGGCTGTGTGTTTGTGATGTAGGGGCGTGTCTGGTGGCGTGTCTGACTGTGGGGGCGGCTGACGGCCACGGCCATTGACGGCATTGGCGTTGGACCCCGAAATGCCCCCGGAACCTGGCAGCACAGAGCCATTCCAATGCGTGTGCCCTGCTGCCCTGTGGTTCTGCAGGTTGGCATTGCCGTCATCTAGTAAGGTGCAGTTCGAGTTCAGTCCGTCCCCCAGGAGGGTGGCCCCAGAAGTATTGGCAGTTAAGGGGTCAGCTGAGGTGTTCTGCCCATGCTCCATGGAGTAGGAGCGGAGCAGGCTGCCCAAGCAGTCCGCAGTGACGTAGGAAGAGTTATTGGGGTTATTGGGGCTGGAGTTGACACAGGACTGGATCCAGGCAATGTGACTATACTGTGACGAGCCACCCAAATGTTCTGGAAGGGAGCTGACCGGGATGTGATTAACCAGTTCGTGGGCTCTTACAGTGCACACCTGCAGAGGTAGAGAATTTTTTTTTCACATAAATATAAATAAGCAATCACATTCAAATTATTGAAACCTTCCAAGAGTTTTCAAAGAGTTTAATGTTTGTATATTCAGTCATACAGAGCTCTAGACATACCCTCTCTCTCAGTTTCTCTCTCACAAACAGACGGAGTACCGCAAACGGTGCTCGGAACCACAGCGGAGACGACACAATGAAGACGCATTTCAGACGAGCAGGGAAAGCCCCCTAAATCACAAAAAAGACAGACAGTAAGCACAATACACAAAGGACTGTGGTATTTCCATTCACAGACCCACCCATTAAACAAACCATCTAAAAAATCCTAAACATACACAATGGTTCAAAAGTTTCAGGTCAGTAAGACTTTTAAATGTTTTTAAAATAAGTCTCTTATGCTCATGAAGGCTGCCTTTGTTTGATCAAATATACTGTAAAAAATAATAATTGTGTGAAAAATTATTACAATTTAAAATAACTTTTCTAGTTGATTTATTCCTGTGATGGCAAAGCTGAATTTGTATAGTTATCATCCTTGGTGTGAACGGCCTTTAATTTACTAATCTCGCATGACCCTTCACATATCACTTTAATATGCTGATTTGCTGCTCAGGAAATATCTGTGTTGAAAACATGTGTTGCTTAATATTTTTGTGGAAACTGTGATAAAACATTTCCAGGATACTTTGAATAGAAAGTTTATTAATTTGAAATACAAATATTTTATAAAAATGTAAATGTCTTTGCGGTCACATTTGATTAATTTAATGTGTCCTTGCTGAATAAAGTTTTAAAATGTATTTTTTTTTTAAGAACTTACAGACTCAAATTTTTCACTGGTGGATTATCTTTGAATACACTATATGCCTTAAAGTGTGTAGGCTAGCCATATGGCGTATGCCTACAAACTCATGTGCTTGCTAAACCATCTGCATTAATAAGCGATTCATCCCCTCTTTGCTGCAGCTTTCACTATTCTGGGAAGGCATTATGTTGGGGACTTTCTCCCATTCAGAGACTACAGCATCAGCGAGGCCAGGCAGTGAAGATGAGTGATGGCTTCTGGACTGCAGTCTGTGTTCCAATTCATCCCAAAGGTGTTCAGTGAAGTTCAGTTCCACGTTTTGTGCAGGCCAGTCAAGTTCTTTCACACAAAACTCATTAAATAATCTATTAATGGATCTCGCTATGTGCACAGGGGCATTGTAATGCTTGAACAAAAAAGGCTTGTCTCTTTCTACTAAAATGTTTGTCTACAGAGTCCATTTCTGGACAAAGCAAAGAGACTTTGTCTCATGTTGCACTCTCAGAATAATCCTTCTAAGGTCAACAGTCTCCCTAAATAGCAGGACTCAACGACTTGAACAATAACATTGTTCAAGAAATTTCTCAAGATCTGGTCATTATTTCCTCCATTGCCACTTTTTTCAACCAGAGGAACCAAACAAACCACTGTTTCCAAGTAGAAGATTCAAAATGCAAGAACTAAAACACTGGAAATTAGCCAGTTTTTTTTTTATTAAATCAGCACTAGTACTCATTTACAGTACCATTAAAATGAGGGTCAGTATGTTTTTTTGTTTGAATCTGAAAGGAATCTAAACTTTTATCCAGCAAAGAAGCATTAAATTAGTCAAAAGTGACAAAAAAGACCTTTATATTGTCACTAAAGATTGCTATTTTAAATTAATTAATCAAAGAATCCTGAAAAAATGTATCACGGTTTCCACAAAAACGTTAAGCGGCACAACTGTGTTTAACATTTATAATAATAAAAGTTTCTTGAGCAGCAAATCAGCATATTTCTGAGAAATCTGAAGATTTCTGGAGGATCATGTGCCACTGAAGACTGGAGTTATGATGCTAAAAAAAATTCAGATTTGCCAGAGGAATATTACATTTTAAAATATATAAAAAATGAAATCAATTACTTAAGTTGTACAAAATATTAAAAAATATTACTGTTTACTGTATTTTTGTTCAAATAAATGCAGTCTCGGTGAGTACAGGAGACTTCTTTCAAAAACTAGAGACCCCAAACTTTTGAATGTTACATAAGAACAAAAGTAACATAGCAAAAAGCAATATTATCAACCTTTTGTTCACTAAAATATTCAGTAGCTTTTGCAACTGAACTCAGACACTATTACAAACCCTTTGACACCCTTGCCAGTTGCAAGAAAACCAACGATTTTCAAGGAAGTAGCAAGGAAGTAAATAAAATCATAGCGATATGTAAAATGCTGTTATATGATATATTCTAAAAATGCAATGCATCACCAGCCCTTCTTGTATGTTATTGAATATTAATAAAGCTCCAGTTCTCCAATAATTACGAGTATAACAGTTAGGGCTGTCGCGGTGAAGGAATTTCTAGTGGTGATTTTGAGTGGCTCAATTTCACGATATGCAATATTATCTACATTTTTTACATTTATCATTTATTTATTTTTGCTATATGAATAAGTGTTACAATGTGGTCAGCAGGCACCAAGATGAAGGAGATTAAAAAACAAAAAAAACAGGCTTTATTAATAATCCAAACATTCTGAATGAACATGCAGGACAATAATGCAAAACACGCAATGCATAAACGAGAACTGACCAAGAACAACTGAAACACAGAGGCAGAGCTATATAAACGGGTAGAACAAAGGAAAGTAAACTAGACATACTGTCTCTGTACAAATCACATACTGTCTAGTATGTCTAATACGTAACTATAGAAACATACGAAGACATAATTAGTAACTAACCAATGAAACCAAAACTAAACAGAGCGGGGAAACAGGAACTAAAGGACACAGAACAAAATGTCAAAATAAGGGTCCACATAACAGAATAGAAACCGGACAAATAGCTTGTTGGGCTATTGTCATATGCATGTATAACAGTTCTGTTCCTCGTATCTAAAATGGATGAGAGGATTTCTAAGATTGCTGATATTTCACCAGGATCAGCACTGCTAGTCTCTGCGTTTTCTAGACAGGCTGTCAGTCAGTACAGGTTACATTGTTACGCCACTAGGTGGCGGCCAGGGACGGTCTTTGAGTGACGCTTCACTTCATAGAGACCAATGGCATTGATTCAATGCATAGGCCAGCACTGATGCCATTCATGGGAAATATCCTTAAACGTTGACGGGATGCTACGACAAAGATTTTGCTTTCCTCTTCAGACATGGCAAACTTTTTTTTCTTTCACAAATATATGCCTTGACCTGAAGAAGGACAGACGCAGGTAATCGCACCTACTCAGTCGATCTCTCACTCTCTGTCTGTTTAGGCTTGTTTAGTACAAATCTATGGATCCTCTGTACAAATCACAATTGTACACGGAGTCTTAATTAAAAAAAGAGCCAGTTGGCCGGGAAAAAATACATTCTTCACTCTTGTTATCATTAACTTATTTAACATTCAGTACACATGCATGAAGTGTAAAAGAAGAATGGGATAGCCTTATAAAACTGTGAGACACCAATGTGTCCCTGAGCAAGACACTTAACCCCTAGTTGCTCCAGAGGCGTGCGACCTCTGACATATATAGCAATTGTAAGTCGCTTTGGATAAAAGCATCAGCTAAATGAATAAATGTAAAATGTAAATGTAAAAAAACAAAACATGAACAGCGTGGTTGCGGCGGTTGCTTGTATTACAGTAATTCCGTTATCACGGCAGCCCTAATAACAGTAAATACAGATGACAGATGAAAAGCTTAATAGATCTCAAAAGAGCAAATCCAAACCCCACCGAGTTCTACTGATGAACACACTGTGAAACAGACAGATGGTCTTGACAGCATAACAACACTTACTTTAAGCAGATTCAAAATCTTGACGCAAAGCTCATAGTCAAAGTTGGCATATGTAGAGTTAGTCATATCATAGATGAAAATGAGCCCATCTCTCTGTGTCTGAACACTAAGGGGGAGAGAAATATGTTTTAGATGAAGATGCAGAGCAGTTAACCACAATAAATTTGATCAGATTTATGGATGTGGTCTATTTTACCTCTCAATGGCCTTGTCCAGCTGATATATAATGGCTTGAAGAACAGCCTTATGGGTAGTGAGGTCTGGCCGATGGAGACGTGCTGTAAAAAGTGCCAAAGCTGCACCTTTCGCGTCACGGCCGGGCTATACACAAAGAAGCCAAATGAATGCATATACAACTTACATACACAACATACTTGCAATTAATGCATACACAACATACTGGTAACTAATACATACAAACATTAGCAGCAAGTGCATGTGAAACAAACATTGAGATCTATTAAGCTTTTTTAAACAGGTGAAATGTTCAATATTGCAGCCACTTGCTAACATTTTTTCTCTGTCTCTGAAAACAGGCATTGTGCCAGAAGATTTAAAAATAGCACAAGTTATTCCTCTGTTTAAAGCAGATGATCCACAATGTTTTAACAACTATAGACCTGTATCTATTTTGCCATGTTTCTCAAATTTTAGAGAGAATTGTATATAAACAGATTCTTTTTCATCTAGATTCAAATCTCATTCTTTACAAACATCAGTATGGTTTCCGTAAAAATCACTCTACTTATATGGCTTTGCTTCACCTGATTGACAAGGTTACCCTTGCACTTGAAAACCATGAATTTACATGTAGTATTTTTATAGATCTGTCAAAAGCTTTTGATACAGTTCATTATTTTATTTTATTGGAAAAGCTGTATAACTACGGTTTTCATGATATTACATCCAAATGGCTGAAAAATTACATTTTTAATAGAAGACATTCTTGGACCCTTAGGCTACTTTTTCTCATTTATATAAATGATTTGTCAAATGTTTTAAATATTCTTACTCCAATAATGTTTGCTGACGACCAGAGGCGGACAGAGTACAGAGCTTTGTTACTTGAGTAAAAGTACAGATACCCCTTGCTAAATTTTACTCAAGTACAAGTAAAAGTACTACAGTCAAATGTCTACTTAAGTAAAAGTACTAAAGTACTTGTTTTTAAAAGTACTTGAGTATCAAGAGTACAAGAGTAGATTTTCTAAATATTGCATTACTAATCTACTGCCACAGTGCTTACATTTATGCACAGAAACGTCCTACATGGAGTTATGAAAAATAATAATGTTAATAGTACAATCAAGTCATTTTCATCTTTTTACCATGTTGCTTTATTTAATTTAATTTAATTTTGGGGGGGTCCCATCTTTAAATGCGGGGACAACACACACACACACACACACCACATGTAAGGGTGGCGCTGCCAATAAAGCACCTAAAAGCAGTCACAAAGAACCGGCAAAAGGAATGATTATGAAAATGTAAAATATAGCAAGGAGATATTTTAATTGTTTATTAATAAACACTTGTTAATAAACAAGTGTTTTCTTTGTCAGTGTCGGCTAGATGAAGTTGACGATGCTGACTCGCGATCTTCAGTAGTGAACGCGCCAGAGAGAAATGCACATTTCATACGGATTACATAAGCAGAAAGCAATCTGTCGTCTGTTTTCTTTCGTTTTGAATTTTTCTGTTTAAAAGTAGACATGTCTGTGAGGCAAGTAGGCTACCTTATACACTGAGTTTCGGTTCATTTATGAGACGAGATCCAGTTCACGTGCCGGCGCCTCCATTTCTTATCTATCGTCTGCTATTTACTTCTTATTTATTAAACCCAGGCAGTTGGTTGATGAAACATTGATTAAAATTAAGATACAATTAATGCAAAATGAAATTCAGGTTAAAGAAAGGTTTTGTGTTTTCTGTTTGATGTCTCTGTAAAAGTTTTAAAGCATTTTTTATGCCGCTTTCAGAGCGCTCACGTCCGTAACGGAGAACACGTCCATAACATTGTTTTTTCCTCATAAATGCAAACCCGAAAAATAAAATAAAACAAAATTAATATTTTATGTACTGTGGAGACTGAGCGCCAACCCTTCTTCATTCGCTGGGTAGTAGCCTACTTTGGTTTGCGCAGTGTAATTCACATAATCAGTAAAAATATATTTTGCCTCCTAAAGTTTTTTTTTTTAAGAAATCAGAAATCCCTCGTGGCTACGCCACTGCCACATTTGAACCTGACTGTGTTAAACACACCACATACTCAAGAACATCAAACCAAATGCTTGGTTTACATTAATGTGTAATATAAAATCTGACCATGGAGTTGACTTTGGCGGGAAAACTGAAAGTGATTGCTGATAGGCTGTCCCAATCAGTGGCGCCTGCACAATCCAATCACGTTTGAGAGGGAAACAACAAATTGAGGGTTTCCGAGATTTTTCTTTTTTTTTTACTTTTTTTTTTTTACTCGGGTACTCACGGTTATGGATAGAAATGTATTGGAGTAAAGAGTACAATATTTGCCTCTCAAATGTACTTGAGTAAAGTCATGAGTACTCCCCAAAAATGATACTCGAGTAAAGTACAGATCCCTCAAAATTGTACTTAAGTACTGTACTCAAGTAAATGTACTCCGTTACTGTCCGGCTCTGCTGACGACACAACGTGTTTTCTCTCATTCAAATTTGAAATGTATTAAAAATGTAAATGATAGTTTATTTGATTATGCTAATTGGTTTAATTTAAATAATTATCAAATATTAATAAATCTAATTTTATTATTTTAGTGGTAAAAAATTATACCCTAAGGATTTATCAAAAATTACAATTGAGTCCACTGAGGTGCCTCAAGTGTCAACTACAAAATTCCTAGGAGTTTTTGTTGACGAGAGCCTGAGTTGGAGGGAACACGCTGACTATGTGAGCGGAAAAATACATAAACCTACCGGTATAATAAGGAGAGTTAGGCATCTTGTTACTACAGAATGTCTTCTTACTCTTTACTATAGTTTAATTTATCCATCTCTCATATTGTAATATTCTTTGGGCAAGCACATTTTCTACTACTCTTCAAAAAAAAAAATGTATCCTTCAGGAACGTTTTGTTAGGATTGCAACCCAATCAAATGCATTTACTTCATCTGCGCCTTTATTTCAGAAACTTCAAGTTCTTACTATTTATGATATCAATATTTCTCAAATGTGTTTTCATTTATAAGATATATTCAAGTGAAGGTAGTTAACATTCCAGAGCAATTTAAGATGTAGGCTATTTTAAAGTAAATTCACAGGTTCACTGTCACTTAACTCGTTAATCTACAGATTTTCATCTTCCATAATTTCTCACTTGTAGAGGTCCATACTCAATAAGATTTAGGGGTATTCAATTATGGAATGGTTTATCCCATCTAGCAAGCAAATGTTCATCTTTAATATATAATAAAAGATGTATAAAGGATCATTTCTTTGTTCATAAACAACAACGAAAAATATATAAGACACAATTACAAATAATTGTGTCTTATAAATACATAAACAACAACAACGGAATATATATAAGACACAATTACAAATAATTGTGTCTTATAAATACATAAACAACAACAACGGAAAATATATGAGCCCTACAGGGTTTGTTTTTGGTATGTATATTTTTGGGGGGTTTCGATATATGTTGTAATTCATTTGATTCAGTCACATACATTTAAATATTTGTTATTATAGTTTAGCCCTTTCTTTAATTTGAAAGTTTCCTTGTTGTTTAAGGGGAGGCTCCCTTTTGGGTTTTCTGCCTCTCCCTGCACAGTATTTGGATTGAAGTTTCTTGCTATTGTTGTATACATTTAACATTTGTGCAAAAAACTAATAAAAATAACTAAACCAGTCAAGGTAGCCAACCAGTTTAAAGTAGTAGAGATTGCATTAAAACTGATTATTCCTTATATCATTGGAACAGTTCTCTTGCATGCTCAGTGCTGTGAAAACTGTTTGAGATGTGATGAATACATCAGACCTGCCTACACAAACACTTGAGCAAACTCTGTATACAGCATGATCCTGAATGAAAAATGGCTGAAACAAACAGTAACGACCAGACTAAACAAAGATCATGGAACTGCTCTGTGTGTGATGGTGTGATATCAGAGATTAAATTTCCTTCGCTGTCACTTTAGCAATGATGGTGGCCTTTATTTTCTGCTTTATTTACAGGAACAGTAAATATGAATGATTGCGACTTGCGCAGTTTTTCTTTCGCATAATCTGAAAGTGATTAAAAATTATTGTGTCCAAATTCTTCTTGTCGTAGCAGTTGGCCAAAGTTTGGATTTCTTACTGAGTGTCTTTCGTTCTTCAGTCTTTCACAAAATGCAAATGCAGATATACACCACCGTTTAAAAGTTTGGGATTTTTTTATGTTTTTGAAAAAAGTCTCTTATGCTCACCAAGGCTGCATTTATTTGATCAGAAATACAGTAAAAACAGCAATATTGTGAAATATTATTACATTTTAAAACGGCTGTTTGCTATTTTAATGCATTTAAAATGTAATTTATTCCTTATATTCAGCAGCCATTACTCAAGTCTTCAGTGTCACATGATACGAATCATTCCTTATCACAGAAATCATTCTAATATGCTGAAGATGTTATAGTTAAGAAACATTTCTTATTATTATCAATGTTGGAAACATTGTGCTGCTTAATATTTTGTGGAAACCATGATATTTTTTTTAGGATTGTTTGATGAATAGAAAGTTTAAAGAAACAGCATTTATTTGAGATACAAATCGTTTGTAACATTTTAAAAGTATTAACTTTTGATCAATTTAATGTGTCCTTACCAATATAATAAAATATAAATATATATTTCTTTTTTTTAAATGCTAAATTACCCCAGACTTTTAAGCAGTAGTGTACCCACAGCATTTTTGTCAAATTTTTTAGAAAGTTCATTACATTCATGCAAATGTAAGTGATGTACTATTTGATCAGATGACTGAAAATGTCCAAAATCTGAAATAGTTTGAAATAGTTTTTAACATCTGACAACGAGAGCTGATCTGACCACAAAAAAACAACAACAGGAAACTGGTAACAGCATCCAAAAAGCTGATCTGTTCATTAGTAATGTTCACACATTATGTTCATCTGAAATCACACTCACCAGAACTGTGAATTTCCCACTGAGTAACTCGCTCCTTAAAGGCTCCTCGTTTGGGTTGATATTGTAGATGCCTTCCTTTATTCTGGTGTTCTGCAGACACACACATGAGTTAGAATGTAAATGGACTCTCTCACAGTATATTGAATGTTATCATACGAGCAACTACACACACACACACACACTTTTTATGTTAAGTTACTGTACCTTGTAAGCTTGGAAGAGGTCAATGGCTCTGGAAACATCAAACTTTCTTGCCATGAGGAATTTAACCGCTGTCATCTGACTGACAAGATCTGCATTCTGAGACTGTTCCCGACATCTCAGCTCAGCCAGAAACTCCTCCACCGCCTGGCGCACACACAAACACAAATTTCATCTAAAAAAACATGTTAATGACAGTTACACATCCCATTCACAGCATCTATTTTTTTCTCTTTTTTATTTTTGTATATTTATTATAATAAATGTTTTCCTATAGTGTTAATTTTGTCTGGCCGCTATTACTAATGATAAAAATATATAAACCTTGTTGATAAATCAGTTGGTATTTGGCATTCTGAGATCGTAATGGCCAATAACTGTGCTCCTTGGCCAAGTTTGGCTGATTAGCATGACACCATCTGGCTGCAAACAGCATCCTTTTCATTGACTGCCATTCAAAAGTCAATGTTTATTCTGGCAAAATACACTGAGATGAAAGGGAATCCTAACGAATGGCTTTCTCCAGGTATTATTACAGAAATATTAACTCTCCCATGTCAAACCAACAGACTCAAAATCTACCAACAGCCTTGCCAATAATGCATTTGTTTTAAGACAGTTTTAGTAAACTTTGACAATCTTTATGTCATAATTTCAGTGTACATTGAAAAAGTATTTTACTTAAAAAATTAAATTAATACTTATATTCAGCATGGATGGACACAATAGATATTTCAAATAAAAGATGTTCTTTGAAACTTTCTATTAATCAAAATATCCTGAATATAAATTGTCTTTGCTTCCACAAAAATGTTTTAAACATTGCTATGAGAAATGTTTCTTGAGCAGCAAATCAGCATATAAGAAGGATTTCTGAAGGATCATGTGACACGGAAGACTGGAGTAATGATGCTGAAAATTCAGCTTCGCCATAACAGGAATAAATTGCATTAAAACAGAAAAGAGTTATTTTACAATGTAATAATATTTTAGATTATTTACTGTATGTTTGGTCAAATAAATGCAGCCTTAGTGAGCATAAGAGACTTCTCATTAAAAAAAAACTCACAAATCTTACTGACCCCAAACTTTATAAGAAAGGTAGTTTATACATTTACTAGGCTAAAATAACATTACTGTACATCCCACCCTCTAGCTATCCATATTACCAGACATCGAATGCCAGTAGTTAATGCACTAATAACGTTCCAGTCTAGTATCTACAGTAGCTACCTCATATTACCTGCTTTTCCAAAAATGAACCAGTTTTGCCAATGCAAAAAAAAAAAAAAAATTTTTACTTCTGCAGTGCCCAAAGATGATACTACTCAATCAAACGCATGTGCAGAAGCAGGAGGATGATCTGACATCTGTAAAGAGAGACGGATCGTGTTGACAGACGTTATGCTACACTCATATTACACCGTTTCCTCAACGAGTCAGAACAAATGGCACCTCCAGCACTATATACGAGTGTTCACACGGTGGTGAGACAGGTTAACGTTACTACCTGTCTTACATTTTACAGCACTGGAGCCATCACACACACGGTTCGCTGTTATTTACAGACAGCGACATGGGCATTCGTATATCCACACATTTGACAGGACACCGACGCAGAACTGTGTTATAATAGCTTTTATTTAATGCAGTCATGCTGGAATAAGACTAAACAGACTAGATAACGCGAGTCACATTCACGTTGTATGCAAACCTAATATTACTTGCTGCTAGACAGCTGGTGTTCAGTCCAACACATGTAAGGGTCGTTATACAAGAAACCAGTTCTCCAAAAATCTACAATCATAACTGTCAATAAATATTTAATAAGGCGCTCAATATTTAGCGTCGTTAGCTCTCTAACACGGCTAGCATTAACCTCAGCTACCTTAAAAAAATAGCCACAGGGCCGCGATTCGCGTTAATAAATAAACCACAAACAGTACTATCAGACATATCACCATAATACATGCTAAAAAGGAGCTTGTGGCGGCTCAGCGTGAAACGCCACGGAATCGACGAAGGACTACTGAAAATATTTAGGTATCTTACCACCTCCTCTTGAGTTGTCAGGGCTTCCGCCATCTTGAAGCCTGAGCAGCAACGTCTACGGGCGCGCCCTCTCTGCTGACGGGAACGCGCCGCTGGTGCCAGTCAAGCGTGCATCAGGATGGACGCGCATGCGCAATAATGTAGTTGAACCATGCTTGAAAGTTAGCACAAAAGATATTTATAAAAATTAATTAAGTAAGCACAAGAAGAATAGACTGGGAGAAGTTTATTTTTCAGAATAGATGTTCTAAATCTGTGGCATTCTATTCGCACAACAATTATCAGCTGGTCTAATTTAAGTTTGTTAGGTTGTGTTCCTCTTCATATCGTACGTTGGCCGGTTAGCTCAGTTGGTTAGAGCGTGGTGCTAATAACGCCAAGGTCGCGGGTTCGATCCCCGTACTGGCCACGTGTGTAATTTTAATAATATGTTTATGCTTTCACTTGTGATAGATCTTAAAAATGTTGGAACATTAGTAATTCGGTTCATTAACATGACTGAAAACATTATTTCATTTCATTTCACTTTAATAACTCAAAAACAAAAGGATTCCATATTTTTACATTTTATTTCATTTTGTAATACAAAAAAAATCAAATAGTGTCCAGTGGTATGGGAGTCTGATATATGATCATCTCTTTCCTCTGTAGTACTGAAGTTCATTTTCGATTCTTCTTGGATTTCCTTAGAAAAGGAATATTTTTGGTTATATCACAATGTATGCATTCATTATGTGGATATGTTGTACTTTTATGAGTGAGATAACTAAGATAACAGATTTATTGACTTTACTCACTGGGCTTCTTCATTAAGAATGACAACTTCATCCTCTTCACTGTCTGAGATTACCATCACTTCATCTGCACGGACACACACACACACACACACACACACACACACACGTGTTTTGGGGCAGATCATTTTTCTTCTCAGATTTTAGAACAAACATATATAGTGTGTTTATAACTCTACAGCACAAAAACACACAAGTCTCTCACACATTGTACCTGTTTTTCTGTCCTCTGTCTGAGGTTCATCCTCTTCATCCTCATCGAGTCCCCATGAGTTTACAATACCCTCACCCACGTGTGCAGTTCCCGTAGCAACAAGAACAGGAGAGGGAACACTGGCTCTGGGGTTAAGGTGTAATATAAGGGTAAAAAAAATTACCTGGCACAGCAATACAATATTCCTTTAACATTTCATGCTCCTCTAATGAGACATCAAACCATAACTGCTTTTTCTGCGTTCCTAAACAAGATATTAAAACATTCTCAATCAACATGAGTTATTGGCTATTCCCCATGTCCCCATGTCCCCATGCTGTATGCGTTCAGATACGCTTCTGTGGAAGTTTCTGTTCTGTTCACAATGTCATTGGCTGTCTCTTTGACATCTGTCATCTCCACCGGGGCTTCGTCTCTCTTAAGAGTTGTGATTCGCTCTTTGGGCATGGACTCAGCAAAGCCAAACTTTCCACCCTCCTTTCTAAAAATAAAAAGAAGAGGATGACATTTTTTTAACGGTAAATCAATTTAATATAAATGTATAATATACATTTTAATTATTCCATTGCTTTATATTTGCTGTAATATGACACAAAGAGTGATTAAAGGTCTTGTATGAATTGGAAGATCAAATTCTAACATCTAAATGTAATCTTAAAAAATCATCTTAAACTATACACATACCTGCTTTTTTTGTCATTCTCTAAGGCTTTGTTGATGAGCTGTGTAATTTCAGAAACTTTTACACTTGCTATTTTGCTGCATCTCAAAACCTGTGGGAAAACTACATGTTTATGGTTCTACAGTACAGATTAATAGTGAAAAACTGTTTTGAAAGTCCATATGTGATAAATCAATGACATTAACTTAAAATATGTCAATTTACTATTTGACTTGAATTTACTATTACTACAAAGAAATTATAACTAACACACACTCTTACCTGGTCTTTCAGTAGCATGATCCCACCACTGGACTGAATGGAGCAGATCTCCTGATGTTTGTTCATGGCTATCACCAACAATCCATCCTTCACTCGCTCTTCTCGTTCACAAGGGTCCACAAGCAAATACGAGCTTAGGAAGGAATAAGTAAACAAAGATTGTAAAAAGATATATCTCTTATGTCAAATGAAAACATAGCAATTACTGTAAGAGAAGAGAAGAGAAGAGAAGAGAAGAGAAGAGAAGAGAAGAGAAGAGAAGAGAAGAGAAGAGAAGGGCAAGTTTGAAATGCAACTCAATACATAATAGTCTTTGCAATAAGTAAATTGCAGTGAATTCTATGGAAGCTTGTTTCCACACCTAAGTAATAGGTAATTGCGACTTTTTCCTCAGAATTGCATGATATAGTGTCTCAATTGCGTGTTATAAAGTCATTGTTTTTTTCCTCATAATTGGACTTTATTTCTCAAAATTCTGACTTTTTTTCCTTGCAATTCACACCATTGCAAGTTATAAAGTCAGAATTGTGAGATATAAACTCGCAATTCTGTGGAAAATTATATATTTTTCCTCAGAATTGGACATTATGGCTCGCAATTACGAGTTTATATCTCATAATTCTGAGAAAAGCAATTGCGAGAAATAAACTCGCAATTGCGAGCAAAAAAAAGTCAGAATTGCGAGTTTATATCCCTCAGAATTGCGAGATGTAAACAAATGTGAGAACATTTTTTTTTAAAGAGTTTATATCACATAATTCTGACATTCTAACTACATGTTCGAAATTTTTTAATTTTTTGACAATTTTGAGAACATTTTCTTTTACATTTTTTTTATTGCATAGCGTACACAAGCTTCCATAGAATCCATTTTCCTAATTTCCAGCAAAATCATATCAGTAAAGAGATTGTGTGCATGTGATGTTTCTTACCCCTGCAGGAAGAAAGCAAAGCTGACACATATGGGCATGTGATAAATACTCAGAGGGATCGGATCTCTCTCCTCTGGACTGAACTGTTCAAAACACCAACAAAAAAATTATAGAATAAAGCACCAATGCAAAGATATCACCTGCCAAATGCATCCATTCTGGGGTTTCAGGACTCACCACAGTAACATCTCGTCCCTGAATAGCGACGTCTGGCCGCCTAAAGTGTGAGAGTGCAGATATGGCAGCAATGCTTGCTGCATCCATCAAGTTTCCATCATGATTTAACACATGGACATCAACCCGTATCTGCCAAACCTGTTGATAACAGAGGTACGGGGAGTGAAGGGACATTTCATGTGGCACATAGGATTAATTATTTGCTCTGGTTTTTACAATGAGAATAAGAAATTATGCTACCATTTAAAAGTTTGGGGTCGGCACGTTTTTTTCCCCTCATGTCTCACCAAGTCTGCATTTATTTGATCAAACACAGTAAAAAATGTGAAATATTATTAAAACAACTTTTTATTTTTAATTTAATATGAATTTTCATCAGCCAGTACTTCAGTCTTCAGTGTAATGTGATCCTTCAGATATCATTCTAATGTGCTGATTTAGTGCTCAAGAAACATTTTATTATTAATAATATTAATATTATTATATCGACATTGAAAATAGTTGTGCTGCTTAATATGTTTGTGGAAAAAAAAAATCAGGATTCTTTGATCAAAGTTTAAAAGAACAATATTTAATAGATTTTCTTTTGTAACAATGTCTTTACTGTCACTTTAATTTAATGCATCCTTGCTGAATAAAAGCATTCATTTTATTAAATGTTTTTACTGACCCCAAACTTTTGAATGATATTGTATATATATATATGTTATCATATGACAGGTATGTATATCACCTTTTCTCCTGAAACTACACATAGAGACTCCGTGTCTATGCATTTAGAATTCCGTAGACACCTCTCAAGCTGTCTGTTTAACAACACCAACAACTCGGACTGCCTATAGAACACACACACAAACACACAGGGATTAGGAGGTAAGAAAACACACAAGAGAATAGTTTACATGATTATGTGTGACAGTGTGAACCTGTTGGGCTCAAAGGTTGGCGATGCCATGGGAGACAATTCCAAATTAAAAAACACGATGCCTTCTGTGGGACGTGAATCTTTTGGAGGGACCAACTCACAAGTGACCTGACACAACACCCTGAAATGAAAAACGCTGTTCAAAAATGGGATTTTCAAGGAAGTACCCAAACAAAGTAGACTGTTAGGACATATTTTAAAATATCTTAAAATTAGGAGATTTAAGTATATTTTATAAACATGCCTTAAAAACATTACTGGGCTGCATCTGACAAAACAATGGTACAGTGACATATTTTAAGATATATCAGTGCAAGTGGCTTTCCACTCAATGATGCATTTTAGTCTGGACTAGGCTAGGCTTAAGCCTTGTCTGTGAAACCGGGGGTACATTTTCCTAGAGAGTAAACAAGAGATTGTTATGACTTCATAATCGGTGGTTTGTAATTTTTAAAGCAATTATATCTAATACGGCAACGTTACCTTGTTTTCCCAAGTTCCACGATGCAACAGCCATAATCGGTTCCAAAAGTAATTTTAATATTCCGGTAATCGTATGTCTGTCTCCCATCTAAGCGCTACAGAAAACAGAAAACCACTAACGTTAGTCAGCTAGAGATGTGAGATGTAAAATGACAATAATCACACAACCTTTCATTACTAACTAGAAAAAGTTCGTCGAGACAAACTTTAAGTTGGCTTGTGAAAGTTTGGACCGCAAAGTTTGAAGAAGTATAAAGTAGTTTGAAGTTTACATTAGTTTAAAGTTTAAATTAGTTTAAAGTAGTTTATAGTTTAACTTAGTTTAAAGTTTAAAGTAGTTTAAATTAATTTAAAGTTTAAATTAGTTTGAATTTTAAAGTAGTTTGAAGTTTAAATTAGTTTGAAAGTTAAAGCATTTTAAAGTTTAAACAAGTTTGAATTTTAAAGTAGTTTGAAGTTTAAATTAGTTTAAAGTAGTTTAAAGTAGTTTAAAGTTTTAAATAGTTTAAAGTTCAAAGTATAGTTTCAAGTAATTAAATGTTGCTAGGGTGTTTCTAGTGGGTTGCTAAGGTGTTGTGGGTGGTTGCTAGGTGGTTTCTAAGGTATTTTGAGTGGTTGCTAGGGTGTTATGGGTGGTTGC